GAGGCATTGATGTGCTGTTCTATGAGGAATAAGATCCTGCCAAATAAAATCGCTTAGGGCTGCTTCAATATGTTTGCAACCAGCTAGCAGCTATTTCTTGAAAGGTCAACCAATGCGCAGAACGCATGTGAGCAAAGATGCTGATACATATTTTATTATAACATCCTTGAAAAATCCTTTATACCTGCTTTCTAGCAATTTGTATTCATATTTGATTGGCAACTGCACCAGACATGAATATTGCCTAAATATTTGTATGCCATTTTTGTTGGTTGTATTGAGCAAAACACTTAACATATGCAGAGCTAGAGCACTTTAACAAACAGCATTTTTAAATAATAATAAAAAAAAAAACATATTTGAAGCAGATGCACTGATAATATTAAGCATCTGTTTCAGAGAGAAAGGGAATGATGTGTGTAAAATCTGGTTAAGCACTTTGCGGTGCTCCACATATAACATGCTCTCTGTGTCAGGCTCTTGAAATAGCGTTTGAAGAGTCTGTTGACAGGCTCTTGTCAAGAAACGCTCAGGTAACTGCAACAACTGCCCACTTGTTATTGATCTGGGTGAATAGAGTGATACAGCTCAAGTTCAATAACTGCTCAGATGCTGTACTGATATGGAGATATGATATTGCACCAGAGTTATGTAATGCACCAGATAACACAACAAATAGATTTCTATAAAAGTCCTCCGAGTATGAAATATGTCATACAGCAGTTTCAACTGTTGAGCTGTTAATTCTTTCTGTTCACAGTGCATAACGATATGAAGATTTATTTAGCCAGAAGTAGTACTTGAGCCAGTGTATTAACAACAACAACAACAACAAATAAATGAGATATAATGGAAAATAAAATGGATAAACATATCAAAACAAGTAATAATAGAACTGTATAAAATTAAGAAAATAAACATTTAAAGCAATGTTAACACACATACATATATGAAATATGTAGGCAACTCTTGTTATATATTATTCAGGGGTTACAAAAATGTTTTATTTGCTGTGCATCATGTTTTAGATGCATTGTGGCTCGTAAAGACCCTTTATATAAAAAGCCAATTTCACAGGCAGAAAGAAAACATTTTCAGTTAATTTACAACCTTTCAGAAAGTGATACAGAAGCAATTTGGTTCTTCGATATTGGTAGACATAAAAGTCCTCTCAACATTCCTTTGAGCAAAAGTAATGCATCTAGGTTTTACAACCCTTCTTATGTTGGCTTATTTCTTATTCAATACACCCAGCTCTGTGCCAAAATGTAGTTATAAAATCAGTGAGATAAATTACCCATGTATTTAGCATAAAAAACAACCTTATAATGACCAGAAGGAGTCTGTGACTGGTAGTCTTTGCTGTCCACACAATCTAAAGACTGTTATTAATGTCTAAATGTCTTGCAGCTACCAGTGTGTCCCTTTTAATTCACAAAAACAAGTCGGCATAATGTAAAGAATGTAATGTAAATTTAATGTCTTCTTTAACACTTGATTGTCTTGTGCATCATCAGCAGCCACTGGCCTTAAAACCAATAACCGCCACCCTTTCTTTCATTAATTTGGGCCATATAAAGTACCATTATCACAAAACAATAAAAGGGAAGCATGCAAACATTTTAAAGGAATAGTTCACCCCAAAAAATGAAAATTTGCTGAAAATGTCCTCACCCTCAGGCCATCCAAGTTTGTTTGTTCATCAGAACGGATTTGGAGAAATTTATCATTGCATCACTTGCTCACCAGTAGATCCTTTGATGTTAATGGGTGCCGTCAGAATGAGAGTCCAAACAGCTGATAAAACATCTCAATAATCCACAAGTAATCCATATGACTCCAGTCCATCAGTAAATGTGAAGTGAAAAACTGCGTGTTTGTAAGAAACAAATCTTTCATTAAGCTATATTATGAGTCCTCTATCCATAATATTGCTTCCCCCATGAAAAAAGTTGGCTCGTCTGAATCAGGAGAGAACTACGCACAGATTTGGCATCGTGCACAATAGTCCAAAACAGTTCTTAGGACAACAGGGGATGGACTTTTTTTTTTTTACTGAAGGAAGTGTTATTATGGTGTGGCTAGAAGTGATGATTTTAAGTTAAAAATGTGTTTACAATGGATTTGTTTAATACAAACTTGCAACTTTTCGCTTCACAAGATTTACATTTATGGACTGGAGAGGGTGTGGATTTCCTGTGGATTATTGTTTTTATCAGCTGTTTGGACTCTCATTCTGATGGCACCATTCACTGCTGAGGATCCATTGGTGAGCAAGTGATGCAATGCTACATTTCTCCAAATTTGTTAAGTTAAGTGATTAAGTGATGTGACATGTGGCCAAGTATGGTTACCCATACTAGGAATTAGTGCTCTGCATTTAACCCATCCTAAGTGCACACACACAGCAGTGAACACACACCGTGAACACACACCCGGAGCAGTGGGCAGCCATTTATGCTGCGGCGCCCGGGGAGCAGTTGAGGGTTCGGTGCCTTGCTCAAGGGCACCTCAGTCGTGGTATTGAAGGTGGAAGAGAGAGCTGTACATTCACTCCCCCCACCTACAATTCCTGCCGGACCAGAGACTCGAACTCGCAACCTTTGGGTTACAAGTCCAACTCTCTAACCATTAGGCCACGACTTCCCATTTTGATGAAGAAACAAACATCTACATCTTGGATGCCCTGAGGCTGACTAAATTTTCAGCAAATGTTATTTTTGGGGTGAACTGTTCCTTTAAGCACACTGGATGCTCTATATGTAAAGCAGGCTATTTGATATGATCCGTTAGCCAGACAACCTGAGTTTGGCTTTGCATGTGGCATTAGATCAGAGCAACCCCAGGACAATTTTAAATGTTTAGAAGTCAACCCCCCTTGGCTTGTAAATATCAGTGCGATCACCAACCCCTGACAGCTGACCAGAGAGAGATAAAGATAATGTATTCCGTATGAGAGTCACCTTGCTCATCAAGCCAACTCACGTCAAGCCAGCTCCATCATATTAAATGCGCCAACTGACTACTTATCACATGTAGTCTGCTATAAAGAGAGAGTAGAAGCATGTACTCTGGAATTAATGTGATTTATATAGCAGTATGCTTAAACTAGCTTATATGATATGAGCATGTCTGCTTTTAAACTCGAGGACACAAGGGTGAAATTCTGCTTTATGTGTCCCTCTAAGGACAGAGTCACAGTTCACAAAACCATTGATCCAATGAGCGCAGCTTTCAGTGGGATTTACTCTAATTAAAACTTTTACGAGATCATAACATTTTATCAGGTGCTTAATATTCATTCCCAACTTTATGGTTTTGCAACTCTTGATGAAAGTTGAAGTGGACAATAGGACGTGTAGATCTTAAAATGATCATAATGGTCATGCTTTGTTATTGTTATGCAAATCTTTGTTGACGACGGTTAATATAACCAATCATTCAAAGCAGTCCATAATCACTGAGTTTTTTAAAATGCCCTTCTCTATTGCATATATTTCAGACAAGTAATCAAAATGCACAGCTCTACTGTATGTCCCTACGGCAGCTAGACTTTTTAAACAGTGTTGTGGACTGGTTAAATGTCAGCCATGGATTTGTTCCATGAAGGACAGCAAAATAAAGGGTTTAGATTGTTTGCTGTGAGTCAGAGGGATTATTCAGATGCAGCACAATGGCTTGTAATCTACCGGTCTGCAGGGAGAGCAGCTCAGAATTTACATTATCAAGGCTCTATGAAGAGACCAGATCCCCACAAAGTCCAGTGCTTCTAAAAGAATAAATAAATAAATAAAAACAGCAAAGTTTGTGCAAATGGTAATCTGCCCCTTTGGAAAACTGGCTTTCAATCCACTTATTTACGGAGTTTAGCTCTAATGGTTTCAATTTTAGCTTTCACAAGTGTGAAGGAAGATATACACAGAATGACTAATGTCCAGTTGGGAGAGAAAATAAGTGTTTTTATTACTTCTGCACAATGTATAATTCATGCATACAGAAAACTGCATCCAACAACTTGGTGACAGTCATTGGCAGAGCTTGTTTTGTGGGTGCAAACTCAATAAATTGGATCAAGCCATCAAATAGCATTACAATTGTGAAAGTGACAGAGCAGATTTGATTGTGAAATCATGCATCACAATCATTGTTTAAAAAGGCTACAAATGTGTTTCTTTCATTATGACACAAACAGCATGCATGTTAAGTCATTTTTCTATATTCAGAAGAGGAAATTGATGGAAAATGGCACAAAATTGTTCATGACATATTTATTAAGTTTGCTCGAGTTAAGCGCTTTTTCTGAATAATATTACACATTTATATTAGAAAGCTTCGCGTGTTTAATTTGTCATGGGTGAACCAGCTGAAGTGCCGCTGTAGGAGATAATAGTAGAAGTCAAATGTCCAAATAATACAAACATTTACCATACACATATTTAAGGAATGCGTACACAAATAATGGAGGGACAGTTCACCAAAATGTAGATTCTGTCATTATTTACTCAACCTCATATCATTTCCAACCTGTAAGCTATTCTTCCTTGTGCTGAAAATGAAGGTTTCATGAGGCTTTTTGTTTATGGGGTCCAAAGCATCACCCATTATATGGACCAAAGAAAGGAATTCATATATGTTTGGAATGATATGAGGGAAGTAAATGACAAAATTTTATTTTTAGGTGACCTATTTCTGAGTAAACAGCTATTAGATTTAGTACAATTTTCTGTAAACACCACAGTTTGAAATGCACGTCTGTGACTCATGCTTTGCTGCAACACAAACACATTTTCACCAACATGACCTCTCACTCTGTGGAGCCTCAGGCCTGACGGGTCAATTGGGGAGACAATAAAAGATAAAGTCACAGGTGGACACAGCAGCCTGTGCAGGTGTTAGTTAAGTTCCCCCTGTCACCCGCATAGATCAAACAGTCATATCAAACTGACAGAAGTGCACATTGCTCAGTCCCAGCTCAACTCCGGTCTTCCTCTTTCCCACAGGTTGGCTTTGAGCAGTTTCTCTAGGATGAGCTCCAACTGCTCAGATGAGTTTTTCCAGGCCACAAACCATGCGGAACAGACCTTTCGAAAGATGGAGACCTATCTTCAGCACAAGCAGCTGTGTGATGTACTTTTGATAGCTGGAGATCACAAGATCCCCGCACACAGGTGAGTCTCCGTCGAATCGAGTCTTCTTACTTTCAAATGTCCTACTTTCACTTGCGAAAACAGACAGATCAACTGGGCAGAAGGGAACGCTGCTTAAAATGCAGTGCAGTAAATCAACTGAAGAGAGACTGAATTCACATTCATTATTCTTAGACAGAATCAAACTATTCGACAGCTACTTAAAACTGAATGCTAGTATTAAAGGGGTAGAAAGGAAAAATTGAAATCGCATCATATGACCCCTTTAAAACTTTCAGTTAACTCTTAGTTAACTGTAGAGGGATAGTTCACCTGGCTTTCTTTTACAGAACATGAAAGGAGACATTTTAAAGAAAGAACTGTTTGAACTGTTTGGGTTTTTTATGAAATAAATCTGGACTGGAGCTTTTGAGTTTCTGCACAAACACCAAAAAAAGTGTTGCTTATGATTCATATGCTATATTCTTGTATAGCCTTCTGAAGTTAGCTTTCTGTGAGAAACAAAATAGTTCAAAATGAAAAAAAAAGAAAAAAGAAAATTCTGTTATTTACTCACCCTCATGTTGTTTCAAAACTTTTGATGTGTTTTGGTTGAGTGAACCTTCACTGTGTAGATAAAAAGTATGAAATATTTTCAGTGAATAATGATTTTCGGTCTACATCTCACACAATAGTACGGCTTCAGAAAACTAGAAATATAGCACACAAGGACCATGTTCATTTAAATGTTTTGATGCTTCTGCATCCTTTTTGAAGCTTGAAAGATCAAGGCCAATTCATTTAAATTTCATGGAAAAGGGTGATGAGCACATTGTTCAAAAATAAAAAAAAAAAGTCTTTGGGTTTGGAGCAACATTACGGTAAAAAAAGTGAAAACCGAATATTCTTTTTGCGTGAACTGTTCCCTTAAGGACAGATATGCAAATGATAGCATCAAGAAGTGTCAAAACTGTGCTGCACGCTCTATTTCAAACTACAGAGCGTGTTGAACTTTCTTCAACAGTGTTTATTTAAAGAAATCTCTCGGCCGCTGAGTGTTTTGATGCTATTCTGTTGAAAAATGATCTGTAGCCAAATCTCTGCTGCGTGTCCTAGTTTGACACTGAGCTCAATCAACATCATCCCAGAGCTGCATGAAACAACCTGGTGAAAAGAGCTGCGCTGAGATAAATCTTTTTGTAGGGAGGAATTTTCTACGAAGACGGCTCTCGAGAAGTTGTTTGAGTTGATCTCGAAGTATGCAGTCGCATATATAAACCACTTGCACCATTTTTTGCAGACTTGTCCTGAGCGCGGTTTCAGACTACTTTGCTGCCATGTTCACCAATGATGTGAGGGAGGCAAAACAAGAGGAAATTAAAATGGAGGGTGTTGATCCTGGGGCGTTGCGAGCGCTGGTTCATTTTGCATATACTGGTGAGTATCTGCATTCCACTTGCGGACTATTTAAATGTGCTGTTCGCAGCAGAAGTGTCACATTCCCCCTTTTGTCAATGCCGGTGGGCAAAACACTAATTTACAAACCCAAACTAACTGTTTGACATTCTTCAGTCTACACAGGTTAAACATACCATTTTGTTCCTAGAATAATTCTGAAAAGTTTCAGAATATTTCGCTTTTTTCTCCAAATGTACAGGAGTCCTGGAGCTAAAAGAGGAGACAATTGAAAGCCTTTTAGCTGCTGCTTGTCTCCTCCAGCTCTCACAAGTTATTCAGGTCTGCTGTAACTTTCTGATGAAACAACTGCACCCATCCAACTGCCTGGGGATCCGTTCGTTTGCTGATGCTCAGGGATGCATGGATCTTTTGAACGTTGCTCACAACTACACTATGGTAGGACCTGGCATACACATACATAGTTGCTGACCTTTCACAGTAATTTCCACTTCAGTAATGGTAGAATTACAATTAAATGATGCCTGTATACTCCAAGTTCATGGGAGTTGAATGACTGTGATGCAGCAGCTTGGTGTTGTAGAATCCTAATGATTATCTGTGTCTGCATTACAGTAATCCCTTGTATATTTTATAGATTAACTAGTGTAATGTCTATAGTACTACGCTGGCGATGTTCCCAGCATGCAATCTGGCATGAATAAATTATGTGGTGGCATTGTTTTACTATTTGCTGGTTTATATTGCTATTGCTATTGTTGTTTTGGCTATCTCTTTTGACTTATTTTGTAACACTCCGAGGCATTTTAAATTATGCTTGATTATTGTCAGTCTCATTGGGTTTTAGTGTGTTGATATCTAATACTGAAGGTTCACCAGTGATAACAACGAGTCTGGGAATATTCACAGTATGAGATATCACCACTTTGCATACAAAACCCAATAATGCTGACAATAAACAAGCATATTAAATAACCACCTTAATTGAAGAAAGATATATTGTAAAGAACTATTTCATTTGAAACATACAGGATAGGGAGATATAGATAATATATTTTATAAAATTTTTCTGTTATGGTAGAAAATGTCGTAGCCTGCTCTGATTTCAATACAATAATGTAAAACACGACTGTTAAAGTAATACCGTCATGTTTTCACTGTCACAGACTTTTTCTGTGGAACACAAAAGGAGAAATTTATAGCAGAACATCCAAGCTGCTCTTTTCCATACAAAGAAAGTAAGCTGTGATCAGGTCTGTCAAGCAAGATTTTCAATGCAAGATTTTGAGTAAATAGCAGACTAAAATATATGTGACCCTGGACCTTAAGTCGCTTGGGCATATTTTTAGTAATAGCCAAAAAAACATTGTACGGGTCAAAATTATAGATTTTTCTTTTATGCCAAAAATCATTAGGATATTAAGTAAAGATCATGTTCCATGAAGATATTTTGTAAATTTCCAACCATAGATATATCAAAACTTAATTTACTAATATGGATTGCTAAGAACTTCATTTGGACAACTTTAAAGGCGATTTTCTCAGTATTTAGATTTTTTTGCACCCTCAGATTCCAGATTTTCAAATAGTTGTATCTCGGACAAATATGATCCTATCCTAACAAACCATACATCAATGGAAAGCTTATCTATTCAGCTTTCAGATGATGTATAAATCTCAATTTTGAGAAATTGACCCTTATGACTGCTTTTGTGGTCCAGGGTCACATATATGATTTCAGAGTGCATACGACATATGGACTGCTTATAGAAACCTTTTTTTGTCTATTTTCAAGATTGACTACTCGTTCATTTTACTTTCATTGATACGCAGATAGCAGCATAACAATTCTATAGACTATAATAAATTCATAAGGGTTTTAAACAATATTAGATTAGTAAATCATGATAGAACTTTCATTTTGTAGTGAACTATCATTAAAACTAATAACCATCAACTTTTTTCCTGCTTATTAAAAAAGCCGCAGGTTTTAAAGCCTTGTCTGACATAAAGAATTCCAAGCATAAAATTATTTGATGTGACATTTTGTATCTCAGCATGCGGTCAGTTTAAAGGGTTGCACAGAGCTCTTTGATGTGTGAGAAATATAGCAAAAGCAGCCTTGGTTAAATAATGGCAATACATGAAGTATTCTCGGGAGCTCAAGGATCCACAGAACACATTTGCTTGATGGGCATTTCTCTGCCCAAGTACGGAAACAACTTAGGAAGATAGCCGTTATCTCCTGAAGGACATCTGCACAGGCTGTTTACAAAGGGCTTTCCAGAGCAGAGAGGTTAATCTAATCAGAGGACACAAGTAGGAAAATCTCCTGTTCAGTCGCTGCGGTAATGAACACAGCTTCAACAGAGCTTCCTGGTTGGCTCGCCGTGGTCTTCAGATTAAAAACTTCTATTTTGATAAGCGTGTTTTTCCTCATTTGTGACCCTGGACCACAAAACCAGTCTTAAGTCGCTTGGGTATATTTTTAGCAATAGCCAAAAAAACATTATCGATTTTTCTTTTATGCCAAAAATCATTAGGATATTAAGTAAAGATCATGTTCCATAAAGATATTTTGTAAATTTCCTACCATAAATATCAAAAAGTAATTTTTGATTAGCAATATGCATTGCTAAGAACTTCATTTGGACAACTTTAAATGCGATTTTCTCAGTATTTTGGTTTTTTGCACCCTCAGATTCCAGATTTTCAAATAGTTGTATCTCGGCCAAATATCGTCCTATCCTAACAAACCATATATCAATGGAAAGTTTATTTATTCAGCTTGTCTTAGTTCAAGATGTCTATGGCCTGTAGCATGCTAGAAGTCTAGGTATTTTCTTTTGAATGTAAAAGGCAGATGAGACGATGCTTAGATAAATGACTGACAACACAAACACTGCTCTAGGTCACATTTCTCCTCATGAATACATTAGATTTGGCGCAAGCCATTAAATTCTCACATCCTCCCTTACAATTTAATCCATTTAGATCTTACTGAGCCTTGTGCATCTCACACTAATATTGCTGCAGGACCTGATACTTGCTGTTCGGTTAATGCCCTCCCCTAAAATATATGCCCACGAGAGGGTTCTAAATGAATGTTTGCAGTGGAACAGAATTAATGTATTCAATTAATTGCCAGGGTGCTTGTGATGGTAATTGCGAATAATGAATCTATATCAATGTCACCAGAAGAATTAGAGTTTAAATCTATATTGAGGAGGGGCTGAAAATCAATGCATGGTACTCATTTAATTATGTGTGTCTGAGCTAAGCTCAGAGAGCCCATGCACGGCTTTAGCAGAGACGCTGCTGTTTAGATCTGATTAATGATCAATAGGATGTTTACTGCCCTTATTTGCAACAGAATCAATGGGGATTACTTCTGATGCACAAAGGAAACTCTAGAAGTGCCATAAGTAATGAACAAGCTTGTTAGAGAGATTTCCGGCATCCTCTTCACATGCTACAGGTTGAACTTTGCAAAACGCTTTTATCAGAGAGCAACCTCGGATGTCCTTGTGGATGCATTGGAGCAGATCATTATATCGCTGTGATGGACGGAGAACAAGACCTATATGTTTTTTACAGTTATTAGATTCTCCATAATGGGTTATTCAAAACAAGATGATATATTCTGTGTCAGGGCCATGTGCTTGTTATATCGTGCTGTATCAAATACTGTTGCGGGTCCAAACCTCTAGTCCATTTTTCCAATATTTTAACGATTTAGAAAAGCTGGATCACTGTCTGGCCAACTGAGATTTTGATATGGAGATAAAGGTTATATATGGTGACCATACATCCTCTTTTTCCCCAACATGTCCTGGCTGGGATTTCTAAATTGCCTAAAATGTCTGGGTTTTCGTATTGACCTGCTCTCTACATTCCTCACACATTTTATGTACACGTATTTGCACTGCTTTGACTGTTCTCTGTAGATCCTACAGTCACATGCCAGATAATTTAGCCAATTTAGAATTCCTGACCAGGACATGATTGGGAAAAAAAGGGTGTTTTGTCACCCTAGGTTAGGTGCATGGTTTTTCAGTAGCATTACAGCACACTGTGAGTGTCTTTCATCACTGTTTGTTGTTTGGATGGGAATTGGCCCTGGAAACTGTGAATTGTAGTCAGACTTAGTCATTAATTACTCACCCTCAGGTCATTCCAAACCCATAAGAACTTCGTTGAACTGAACATTGTGTTCGTTGAACACAAATTAAGATATTTTTGATGAAATCCGAGAGCTTTCTGATCCTGCATAGACAGCAACGCAACTGACACATTCAAGACCCAGAAATGTAGTAAGGACATTGTTAAATTGTCCATGTGACATCAGTGGCTCAACCGTAATGTTATGAAGCTATGAGAATACTTTTTGCATCATGATACTCTCGTGAACATGCATCGAAGACTGACACAGAAGAGAAGAAATTGTTGAATAAAGTCGTTATTTTTGTTTTTTTTGCGCACAAAAAGTATTCTCGTAGCTTCATAAAATGCCATGGAAAAACAAAATCCCCACCATAATGAGAAAAGAATGCAAATTCCTGGTGTATACAGAAATTAAAGGACTTGTGCAGGCCTACAAAATAGCTCTCCAGATCCAATAACTGATATGTTTGTTTTGATATCTGATATTATTGACTATAGAGGGTATGCACTGACGTCACTTTCCCACCGGAATGGCAGAAGAGCTTGTTGCATGACTGAATTTAATAGGGAAGCTGAGAAAACGCAAGTAAAATACATAACCGCAGTCACTCCAGCTGACGGTGATGTCACGTGTATACCCTCTATGAAAACAGCAATTCATGCTATAAGATCCTGTCACTGTAATTCAGCCACAGATACCAAACATTAACTTATCAAGAAACATTCAAAGTGCCGCAGCTGCACAGCTATGTGAATCATGTGAGTGAAAACTGGTTTCATGTTACAGTACTCACTGATCAGTGTTGCTCATTTAGTCTTTGCGCACAAAAATTATTCTCGTAGCTTCATAACATTACGGTTGAACCACTGATGTCACATGGACTATATTAACAATGTCCTTACTACCTGTCTGGGCCTTGAATGGGTCAGTTGCATTGCTGTCTATGTAAGGTCAGAAAGCTCTCAGATTTCATCAAAAATATCTTAATTTATGTTCAGAGATGAACGAAGGCCTTGGTTTGAAGGTTTGGAACGACATAAGGGTGAGTAATTAATGACAGAATTGTAATTTTTGGGTGAACTATACCTTTAACAACCGGATTGCTGTATTGGGCACATTGAGAAATCATTTATATATTTAAAATAATAAACTATAACTGATATTTCCATAAATATAAAAATAATTTGTTTATTGTAACACATTTTAGTACTTGCAGTTAATGTCTCATTACATTGCAGCACACAGATTTATAACTAAACAAAATTGCTTAATATTTCAGGAACACTTTCTAGAGGTCATTCAGAATCAGGAGTTCCTCTTGCTGCCCACAACGGAAATTATCAAGCTTTTGGCCAGTGATGACATCAACGTTCCAGATGAAGAAACGATTTTCCAAGCACTGATGATGTGGGTTCGCCATGATGTGCAGCACCGACAACAGGATCTGGGAGTGTTGCTGGCGTATATTCGACTTCCCCTTTTACCACCACAGGTTTGTCAATAGCATTCATATAAGACTCTTGGCCATTTTATTACAATTTAATGCAATCTCTGAAAAATTTCCTGCTCATCTAATATTTAAATGTTACTCTTTAACATTGCACTCTTTAGTTCCTTCTTCTTTTGGATGTTAATGCACTATTTGTTTTTGATGTAGCTTCTTGCTGATTTGGAAAACAATAAGATGTTTTCAGAAGACCTGGAATGCCAGAAGCTCCTGATGGAAGCCATGAAGTACCATCTTTTGCCAGAGCGCCGTCCCATGCTACAGAGCCCAAGAACCAAACCACGGAAATCCACTGTTGGATCGCTCTATGCCGTTGGACAGGGTTCGTACCGATACTGTAAAATGAAATTCCAGGACTTTCAATTAATTTTCAAGCACTAATTTTTTGGTTTTCAAGGACTACAAAGATATCACTTATCAAACAATATCGTTATTACCTTTCAAATTCTAGAAAAGGTTAATAGATAAATAAAAATTTGCCCTGTTACAATTGTTAAATTTGGCTGATGATAAATGGCCTAAAATTAATTATGCTGCTTAATTTCAGTTTTAGGGCTCTGATGATTAATTGTCTTTTTTAGGGCTTTGTCACACTTTTTTGAGCGCTTCATTCATTAAATAATTGTGATGAATTTAATCCTTTTATAAGTTATCATTTTGCAGTGTAAGATTACAGTTAACACCTTTAAATATTAATGTATTCAATTCAGTACATAACTGAAACAATCACAACAAACTGGCCAATCATAGAAAAGACCATAAATGTATCATAACAATCCAGAATGCACTACTTCATTATAAAGAAAAACTAAGCGTATACGCCTCTAAATTTCCACATTATGCAATCATTATGATCACACTTATGAGAATTGCTTTAGCAAGCTCATTTTTTTTGCCTAAAATGAACACGTTAGCTGACTGCATGAATTCTATGAAATGAAATGGACATTACTTTCAGTCACCTCTGAAAACAGATCACTCTAAAGTGTAGTGTTGACACATGCATTTTCTGTAAAGCTGCTTTGAAACAATAAATATAGTGAAAAGTGCTATATAAATAAATGTGAATGAATAAGCTATGACAAAAAATATATCAAATTAGATAAGTGTATAATTCAGCAAACTCTTTGGTGTATAGTATTTTTAAACAGTCTAAAGATGTTAATAAAATTAGTATTTGTATTGTTATAAAATACATTAGTGAATATATACATATGCGTAGCGTACACACAAACAGACATTTGGACAATATGATATGATAAAATTGACAGCCCCAGCAGAGGGAGGACGAGTTTCTGCCAGCTTTAATTTAATGATGTTCTTGGAAAAAAATTAAACACTATTTTCATATATATTGTTTTTCACTTTTCAAGTACCTTTTCATAAACGCTGTTTTCAAGGGGTTTTCAATACTTAAATGACAAAAAGTCAGATTGAAATACTTAAAGCACCTTGTACAAGCCCTGGTTGGAAGTATGGACGCCTCAAAGGTGGACCATTATTTAGTATTTTTTTCTAATACTTTTCTTATAGCAGTACCTCTTACTGCCATCAAAACTTTGTACGAAATTTTGTACAGTAAAATAGCTATTAGCATAGCAGCATACAACTGTTTAAATATATAGTTCAGTCATGAAACTCTAGATGGCGCATTCTGATGGGGTGTTAATGTAACTGATGATATTCAGAGAGTTAAACGACTTGGCACAAGCTGATTGGTTCATGCTGCATATGCAGACAATGAGCTTACTGCCTTGCATTTATATGGCTGGCTAGCATTCACTTGAGATTCCTGCAGTGCACTTTCAGAGTTCTCTGAAACCTCCACCTTCCCCAGGTCCACCTGTATAGATCTGCTATGGGTTATTTTATATGCTATTTGTGCAGCAGCAATATGTCTTAAATACTCATGGCACCGTATCGCCATATGCATTGGCAGTAGCAAGTTCCTGTACTTGCTTGCAGCAGCAGCAATAATCTACAACTACAGCAATAACCAACAGCAGCAGCAATTCAGCAGCAGCGTAGCAGATCTGTTCCGCCAAGACCAAATACATTAACATTGTCATATCCATCACCATGCTAAAATGTTCCGAGAGTTGTCATGATTGAACTAATAAACTTTAGAGTCTACTTCTGTCTACTTTTAGGGTCTACAACAATAGAGAAATACGACCTTCGCTCAAACAGATGGATCCAAGTTGGTAGCATGAATGGGCGAAGACTTCAGTTCGGCGTGGCAGTGATTGATAACAAGCTCTACGTGGTTGGAGGAAGGGATGGACTCAAGACCTCTAACATGGTGGAGTGCTACAACCCAATCACTAAAGTGTGGTCCACCATGCCACCAATGTCAACCCACAGACACGGATTAGGTGTGTTTTATGAATGCTTCAGATGTTTGTGTAATCTTATTACACAGCTTGTATGAATAATTGTTACACAGTAATGTTTAGTAATTCAGTTTGCTTCATTCTGTGTCACTGTATAAATGTGACAAATATGGTATAAATGTGTTAAATGATTAAACAACATCAGCCCTTAAACTTTGAAAGTCTAATTAGTCATAAACAAAAATTACATATCAGTAAATTAAAAAACACAAAAAAAATGAAAATATTCGAAATGATCTTGATCGAACATTAATGATGTCCATATTTCATGTATTTTAAATGTATTTTAACTAATAATGTAAGCTTTAGGCTTGTTAATGCTATTAAAGATATTTATAAGGCTTTGCTCATTAATATTAAAGAAGCTATGTTCACCTAGAAGACCTAACTTATTAGCTGAAAGGAATACGTTGCTAATCAGCTGGTGAAGAAGAAGAAATCCTACTATTATGAGGGCATAGTTCATGAATGAATATTTATTAATTTATTTGGCTAATTGGCTCTACTTTCTAGGTTACCAAGCCATGTCTGCATGACTCAATTAATATTCACACCCCAAACGATATCAGTTTTATTGATATTCACACGACGTGTTTTGGTTCAACAATAGGTAGACAGAGCAAAATGGAACAGATCACAGACATCGTTTTGAAATATTTTGACTCTTGACACTCTTAGAAACGGTTCATGGCACAAGATGCTGAAAAGCAGCTGAATGCGACTGACATAAATGACGCCCATGCAGATTACAGCCCGAGGAAATTTAAGAACGTGTCGTGTCGACTGTCTCAGTTTATCAAAAGCAGTCAATCACAGTCTGAAACTTAATTAGTGTATAAAGTTTGGTGCATTAGGGAGATGATATGTTATTTTGTGCCTTACATTAAAGCCGATAACGATAACGTTGACAATAATAATCTTTTTTTTTTTTCACTCTGGTCCAGTTTTCAAAGACAAAACGAGCATGAGGAAGTGATTTGTAAAGGAGGAAGGTGAATAACATAACTTGATAGTGATGTTACATTTCACATCAAAGCTCCAAAGCTTGTCAAAAAACAAAAAAAACCCCCACATTTTAAATTAAGTCACTATTGAGTAGGTTTTACCAAAAGCATGTGATCTCTTGACAGCAGAGCATGTTTGCCAGAAAATCATGTGACTTTCAGTTCAAAGAAGTGAGTCCCAGTGTGGTTTTGCTTACTCTAAAACAAAGTTTGTTTCTTTCAAAATCCTAAAAAATTGTATATAAAACACAAATGCCATTATAATATGGTTAAAACGCCACCACTCTTAAGTCTGGTTTAGTGACTGGATGCTTTTAAAATACTGCTGCATAAGACTTAGAAATTTTGAAACCTTTTTTTTTGTTGTTGTCTTGAATCAGTGGTTTAGTGCAGTGTTTCCCAACCTTTTTTTAGTCGCGGCACCCTTTGGAAATTTTAACAAACTTGTGGCACCCTACAAAATTAATTTTGTCACAATATTTGAATTTCTAACTTCGATATGATAATTTGAAAAGTATAGATATTCGGTACAACAGGGAAGAACTGCAGAATATAATGTCATACAGATATTTTTAATATTATGAAAAAATGTTGTCCATCAATGGTGGCAATCAGTACACTAATTTCTAATGAAGAGACCAATTTATATGACAGATTTTAATGTAGGCTTTTATACATATGTAAATATTATTTAATTACCATTATAACTAGCTATCTCACACATTTTTGCTCACTCAGTGTTTTTTTTATTTTACAGTGGGGTAATTTCGGTGCAGTAGCACCAGATAGCTTGATTTCAAACTTTGAATTGAATAAAAAATGACAAGTAAGCAGTCAGTAATAAAATAAGAACAAATAAGGAAATTAATAATGTTAACACAAATAAAAAATAACGACAGGCCTTCGAATTAAATAAATTGCTTTTTAGTTTTTCAGGTAGGTCTAACAGTAGGGTTAAGATATT